ATCAGACCGATGATGGTTGCAATTATACCAATCCCCGATATAATCACGGTGGCTATTGTAAATATAATTAAGTAATTTTGTTAAATTAATTATATATAGTTTAGTTTTCTAATTACCAAGTTGCTCGCTGTGAGTATACTCTTTCCATTCTTCAGCTTGGTCAAATTTGCCCTGACTCGCCAGTATCCATGAGATCTCTAACCATAGGTAGCCAATGATGGCCAGTGTGTACAGCACTTCCAGTGTGATTTTGATCACGGTCAATAGTTTTTGATTTTTAAATGTTCCCATGATGGCTGTTTGTGTTACTTATACTTTACTGTACTTTGTTATGTAACAAACTAATAATAAAATTGACAATACTGGTTATTTTTATATAAAATAACCGCCAAGTGCTTTGTGATCTCAGCTTGGGTTTTAATGCACTTGGTCATAAATGCCTTGTTTGTTCAGGTTGGCTTACATTGATTTGGTGCAATAATAATAATGTGGTAATTTTACGACATTTTTCCAATTACATTTTTTGTTCAATTATCTGAGAATTTATTGAAAACCAGTTTTTCTCAATAGTTAAATAAAAATAATTGTTTATTGATAACTAACTATTTTTAATAGGAAACCTGTTATCATGGTTATTTTATATGTTATACAGATGATCAAACATAAATATTACATGCATATAATTGAAATTCCTCAAATAGATTTTTATTATTATTAAATAGATGTTACAATTTATTTCATCATTGTAATTTTATTGTTAGATAATTGATAAATAGTATAATTTAGATAATTATAATTACATTGTAATATAAAATCCATGTTATAAATAATTATAATAATATTGAACATTGTTTCCTGTAAATATATGTTTTGCATAATTCTTATAAAGTTTTATTTTAAATTAATTATAATGTTATTAAAATTAAACAAATAGATTATATAAAAAATAAAATCTCTACAAGTAAACTTTTAAAAGATATTTTATAAAAATAAAAAATTAAAACATATTTAAATTTATTTAATAATAAAAATTATTAACAAGATTAAAATCGACTATTTACAATATTAGATTAAAATATAAACATAATATTTTGTAGCGTAAAAAATGTAATTTTATATCATTACATAAAAACATTAATGTATAAAATGTAAAATTGGCAATAAAAAAATATTAACAAGGTGAAAAAATAATTAACTTATGATGCATTGGGATACTGAGAGTTGGCTTCACTTTGCTTGTCGCCAATAAGTTTAATGTAAAAGATGGTGAGACCGACAACTAGAGCCCCGATTATGGCTGTGACATATTCTGCCATGATCAGATCGAAAATAATGCCCACGATGCCAAAAATCACCAATATTATCACTAAGCCTTTACGCTCCTTTATTATACCAAACAGACCGATTATGGTTATTATTAAACCAAGCACAGATAATATCACGATATCTTGTAAATACCTGTGTATCACGATACCTTAAAAATTTAGTGACATTAGTACTACATTATATAAGTTAAGCTAGCATATTTAAATTTATATGTAAATGAAATGTCAACACAATAATCAATTTTTATATTTACCAAGTGTTTCTTTGTGTATAGAATCTGCCCATACTTCAGCTTGTTCAAATTTCCCCTGACTCGCCAGTATCCATGAGACTATCAACAACAGATAGCCAATGATGACCATTGTATACACCACTCCCAGAATAAATGCTACCACGGTAAATGTTGTTGGCTTTTTAAATACCATGGTAAATATTGGATATATGAATTAATAATAAATGTATAACTTTTTTTAAAATATCACAAAGTGATTGAAAACTTGGTTGTGATGCACTTGGTTATAAAGATTTTGTTGTTCTACATAGATTTAATGCAATAGACTATTGCCAATAGTATGAAAGTAGTTGTTTTAAGTTAAGTATCACTTTCTTTTGCAAATTAGTAAATAATTATATGTTTTGTCTGAAATCTCATTGAAAACCCGTTTTCCCGGTATTTGTATAAAAAATATTGTTTATAGACATTATTAAAATCATTACTAAAATAAAATATATTAAAATATTAATATTACTTTCATCATTGTAATTTTATTGTTTGGTAATAGATAAATACTATAGATTACACTGTAATATAAAATTCATGTTATAAATAATTGTAATAAATTAAACATTGTTTCTTGTAAAGATGTGTTTTGCATAATTCATATAAAGTATATCAATTATATTAAATTAATTATAATGTGATTAAAATTAAACAAATAGATCATGTAAAAAATAAAAACTCTATAAGTAAATAAAGAATATTGTATTTAATATTATATTAAGAACATATTTAAATTTATTTAATAATTAAAATTATTAGCAATATTAAAATTGATTATTTACAATATTGGATTAAAATATAAACATCATATTTTGTAGCGTAAACAATGTAATATATCATTACATAAAAAGATTAATGTAAAGTGAAATGTAAAATGTAAAACTGGCAATTAAAAAATATTAACAAGATAATTAACTTATGATGCATTGGGATACTGAGAGTGAGCCTCACTTTGCTTATCACCGATAAGTTTAATGTAAAAGATGGTGAAAGCGACCACAATAGCCCCGATTATGGCTGTGACAAATTCTGCCATGATCAGGTCGAAAATAATGCCCACGGTACCAAAAATCACCAATATGATCACTAAGCCTTTACGCTCCTTTATTATGCCAAATAGGCCGATTATGGTTATTATTATACCAAGGGCAGATAGTATCACGATACCTTATTTGTAAGTATAATTCAAAGATATGAGTAGAGTATACAGGCGAGTTAGCATAGTTACAGTTACATTTACATTTAAAATCACATGTATACAGTATACTGTATGTGAATTAAATATAAACATAGTAATTTATTTGTATATTTACCAAGTGATTCGTTGTGTGTAAAGTCTGCCCATACTTCAGCTTGTTCAAATTTTCCCTGACTCGCCAGTATCCATGAGATTAGCAACAGAAGGTACCCAATGATGGCAAGTGTATACACCACTCCCAGAATAATTTTAACCGCGGTAAATGTTTTTTGATTTTTAAATACCATGATGAATGTTGGACTTATATATGAATTAAATTTTAAATGTACAACTTTATTATAAATATATCAAAAACTGATTGTAAATTGACAAAGTATTTTTCTATCAAATAAACACCAAGTTCTTTATACACATTATGACAACTTGGTTGTGATGCACTTGGTTATAAAGGCTTTGTTGGTTTACATAGATTTAGTGCAATAGTATATGCAATATGTAGTTGTTTTACGTCATACTAAGCATCACTTTCTTTGCAAATTAGTAAATAATTATATGTTTTGTCTGAATGTCATTGAAAACTCGTTTTCCCGGTATTTGTATAAAAAATACTGTTTATAGACATTATTAAAATCGGAATTTATATCTGATTAAAATTAATGATATAAAAACCATTGTTGAGCTTCATTATATTTCCATGAATTATGCAGTTTCAAAAAAGTATTAATATCCTTTAATAGGCAAAAAGCTATTAATGCTTATTTTATATACTGTAGATTTAGCCAATTATAGACCGATCTGTAGACCAATAATTATCATAATTAATCCCAATTTTAATTAAATGCTAATGCATATCATGCAATGTAATTATATTAAAAACTTTATCACGTAAAATTGTTATTTATAATGTAAAAACAAACCACAAAAACTAAATAGCATAATTGTAAAGTTACAAAATTAATTAATTTGTGATGCATTGGGATACTGAGTGTTAGCCTCCCATTGCTTATCGCCAATAAGTTTAATGTATAGTATGATGAGTGCGGCCACTAATGTCGCGATTATTGCCTCCATGAATGCTGTAATTATTAGGTTAAAAGCAATGCTTATGGTCATAAAAATCACCAGGATGATTACTAAGCCTTTACTCTCAGTTATTATGCCAAGTAGACCGATGGGTGCTATTATTATACCAAGCGCAGATATGGCTAAGATACCTAATTTGTAAGCATAAGTAATAAATATAATTACTACAGTATTAATATTAATAATATATAAATTTACAAATTATTATCTAAATTAATAAATTTTATTTTAATATTAAGAAATTAATTTATTTTTCAATTTACCAAGCGCTTCGTTGTGAGTAAAGTCAGCCCATCGTTCAGCTTGATCAAATTTGCCCTGACTCGCCAGTCTCCATGAGATCACTACAAGTACATACATAATGATTGCTAATGTAAATAGTACTTCCAATGTGATTTTGATCACGGTAAATTTTCGTTGATTTTTAAACACCATGATAAATTATATTTAATGTATAACTTTGTTAAACTAAAAAGTGCTTGAAAACTGATAAATAAAAACGGAAAAATATTTTTAACTTTAAATTATTACCATGTGCTTTGGTTATTTGATTATAAATGGATTTGTTAAGCTGGTTTACATAAATATAATGTAATACTGTATTGTAAAACTGGTTATTATACTTCATATTATGCATAACTTTTTTGCTAATAAATAGTTATATGTTTTGTCTAACGAGTTACCACTTTTTTTATACAATATAATATTTTTATTAACTTAATCTATAATTTCAAATTATTAATTTGTTAACTTTATTAAAAATTCAATTTGCAATAAAATAAAAATTATTAGCAATTAAATTGATATTATTGTATTAATACTTATACTTAAAAATAGTATCTAAAAATTTTATTAATGGAAAATGTAAACAAATTTATTATTGACAAATATATATTATAATTTAACAAGATTATTTAATTTTATACTACTATATAATCAAATTTTGATCTAATAACTTTAAGTTTATAACGTCTTGTTAGCTATTTTATTAATATCATATTATATGATTTATATAATATTGTTTAACTTATCTAACTTATAAAATTGTTATTATAACTTAATACAGTTGAGTCAAAAAGTTATAATAAAAAATATAATTTATTATTATTAATTAATTTATAAATATGATTTGTATTAACTTTAAAAGTTTTTTCATTATCAAAAATATTTATCTAAATAATAATTGTTTATATTAGTTATATTAATATTACAAACACACTTATTTCCCAATTTAATTTAAGTTATCGATGCAAAACTTTTGAAGGCTAACACGAGTTATACAGACTACACGTTATAGTAAACATCAATCTAACCATGATGATAGTGGTTTAGTACATTAAGGGTGACGTGCAAAATTTAATATACAACTTACTTTCTGCAAATAGTGTACAGGAATTTAGCACAACTTTTCTTGTAGTACATTGCGTGCATTCTTGTTTGACCAAGTATAAAAGTGGTTCACAATTATACTTATAATTCATAACAACTTTATAAACACATTATAAAAAAGTTTTTTGTATTCAGTAATATAGTAAAATATTTTTAGTGTATTTTTAATTAAATATGTTTTTCTTATTTCCTATAATTTATTGGATTTATTCAAATGCATTTATTTTGTTAATATCTTTATTCACGTATTTTGTATCAAAACAAATATATAGTGAATATGAAATGCGGAAAAAGTTACCGCCGGGTCCTATTGGGCTACCATTTGTCGGTTATTTGCCCTTTCTTAAGGGCGAGCCCTCCAAAGTGTTTGTACAATTGGCTAAGAAATATGGACCAGTTTTTGGGTATGTTTTTAAATATTTATTTTTAACATGTAAAAATTAATCATGATAAAATTTTAAATATTCAATAAAGCATTCAATTGGGTTCGTGTCCAGTAGTCGTATTAAATGACTGGCCGTCAATAAAAGAGGCCTTCTCTGATGAATCGGCATTAGCCCGACCTAAGGATAGTTTATTTACTGCGTTACTTCCACCGGGTATTTAACATTAATATTGATATTAAACTATTGCCAAATAATATTTTGAAAATCCTGTATAAATGTGAGAAAATTGGCAAAAATTCCTGCATTTTTCAATATACAAGAAAATTTCTTCCTGTATTCTGTGAAAATTCCTGTATAATACAGGGAAATTCCTGTGTGTTTGGCAACGCTATCTGAAACATTTACAATAACTTACCATATTTTTTGTAGGCTTCGGAACAATGAGTGGTGACGTGTGGAAAGAGCAGCGAAGGTTTGCTTTGCATCAGTTGAGAAATCTCGGGTTCGGGAAGACATCGATGGCGGACCACATCATCGATGAAATCAATCACTTGTCCAAAGAGATCGACAAAAGCGTTGGCCAGGCGTTTGATTTGCGCACACTTTTGCCGATTAGTGTTTCAAACAATATAAATTCGCTGACATTTGGCCGGCGTTTCGATTATACGGACCCCAGAAAGCAAATGATGGACGAGTTCTTTAAACCCGACCCGAATGTTAATTTGGCCGGCATTTTGTCGTTTTTCCCGAAATTGGGTGGTTTTGTGTTCAGAAATATGACATTTCTATTGCCATCGGCTCTACAAAGGGTTAGAGTAAGACTCGAAGAGATCCGCCAAATGATGAAGTATGTGCCTATGGTCAAGCAGAGTGCTCTAGATGATATTTTAATTAACATATTATACCAATTTATTTAGAACTGAACACGACAATCACGCGCAAACACTTGATAAAAATAATAACCGTGATTATTTTGATGCCTTTATTAATGAAATGCAAAAGTCATCAAATGGAAAACAGACTACTTTTAATTGTAATTTGCAATTAGATTATTGATAAATATTAACATTTTCATAAAACCGTGATATTAATAGTTTTTTCAATTAACTAGATGAAATGTTAGAAGGGAATACCTTATTGCTATTTGGGGCCGGTTCAGGTACAGTGTTAACTACCCTGGAGTGGTCACTAGTGATTTTGGCCGCTTATCCAACTATACAACAACACATCCAGAAAGAGATCGATGAAGTGATTGGCAAAGAAAGGAGTCCTAACGTTGGCGACAAAAACCAAATGCCATATTTGCAGGCATTCATGTATGAAGTTTGGAGATTTAGGACACTTACGCCACTCAATCTACCACGATAGTAAATTTATATTTAATATTTAATCTATATAAAATCTTTATAATTGTATTTCTCTCTCTCTCTCTCTCTCTCTAATTATATAATAATTTTGTGATAACTTTCAGTGCGTCCAAAGATATGGTAATTTCAGGATTCAAAATACCAAAAGACACTCAAATAATGGCCAACTTTTGGGCCATAGATAACGACCCAAACCTATGGGAAAATCCATCGCAATTCAGACCCGAAAGACTTCTCAGCGACGATCTCAAGACATTTAAAAAACCGGAGCATTTGATCCCATTTTCATACGGTTTGTGTAGATTTTAATGCAAATTACATTAAAAATAGTAATAATAATGTTGTAATGTTTGTGTGGATTAGGGAAGAGGTCGTGTCCGGGAGAGATCTTAGGAGTGGTCGAAACGTTTCTATATTTGAGTTCTTTGCTTCAGAAATACGATATTAAAGCCAACCATAAAACTGATAAAAGTCTTGAATACGAGTTTCAGTTCTCAATCACTCCTAAACAAAGTCCCAACATTTCATTCGCTAAACGAGTGCACAATTAGTATTATAGATAATAACATTTTTATTTAAATATTATAAGTAAATATTATTTGTAGAAATATTTATTCTACTATATTGTTGTAATAACTTTTAAATCACATTTTAATTCATATGAATAAGTAATGAGTTAATAAAAAACTAACGTTTGTCTTAAGGCAAATTACAACTAAAAATACGTTACTTCTAAAATATATTTATTTAATTTTCTTTTAAGTGATAATTAATAATATTTAAATGAATACCAGTTAAACACCGGTAATAACACTGATATAAAAAATTTATCATGGGTTTGGGCACTGATTCTTAGCCTCCCAGTGCTTATTGACGACAAGTTTGATGTATAAAACAGTGATCGATGCGATTAACACCTCGATTATGGCCTCTATCCACTCGGTCATTATCAGACAGGATAGAATGTCCATGGTGAGAAATATCAGCATAATAATCACCAATACTTTGCTCTCCTTTATTATGCCAATCAGACCGATGATGGTTATAATTACTCCAATTACTGATATTATCACGATGGCTATTTATGAATATAACATTATAGAAACAAATAATTTTTAAGCTAGTGTAGTTTTATAATTACCAAGAGCCTCGTTGTAAGTATACACTTTCCATTCCTCAGCTTGATCAAGTTTGTCCTGACTCGCCAGTACCCATGAGACTACACACCACAAGTAGCCAATGATGCACAATGTGTACAGCACTTCCAGCGTGATTTTGATCACGGTCAATAGTTTTTGGCTTTTTAATATCATGTTGAATATTGTTATACGTATATGGTAATTTACAAACAGACAATAAAATGACAAAACTCAATATTTTTATAGTAAAAAAACACCAAGTGCTTTGTGAACACAGCTTGATTCTGATGCATTTGATTATAAATTACATGCTTGTTCAAGCTGGCTTNACAACATATTAATTCCAATTAATAATAATAATATAAACACATTTGTTAATTATTTTGTATTTTTAAAGTATGTTGTTTGTTGAGAATTTTTATCATGGTAAATTCCATATACTGATCAAATACTAACATAAGTAAATATGCATGAAATAAAAAATATTTACAATAGGATATTATTAACTTAATTACTTTATTTGAATGGATTTATTTGCAATTAAATTTGTAATTATTTTGAATTACAATAAAAAATAGTAATAAATTTAATAAGAATTATAAATTAATGTAAATTAATATTATAATTTTTATAAATTAAACTTTGTGTCTTGTTATGGTAAGTTTTGGAGTTTGTTTTTGTTTATCCATGATAAGTTTAATAAATATACACAATATTAATGCTACCACTAAAGCGATTATGGGTGTAATTATGTAACCAAGTGACAAATAAATTATTGCGCCAATTATATGAACCACCAAAAGCATAATCGTGGTGCATTTACTCTCCCAGATTATACCAACTAGGCCAATAATTGATATAATTATAGCCAATCCGGACAAAGCTATGATGGTCAAAACTACCGTGATGATTGATAAAAACAGAGGGGTTAGTTTCTTTATCATAAAATTTGTATAATTTTATACTGTTGTAAATTACCTTGTACGTATGTTGTGTCTTGCATAAAAGATGTAAATCCACCAAGTAAACAAATTACCCAAAATGCAATGATTATAGTAAATGCAATAATAGCGAGTGAATAGAGCACTTCCAGTGTTATTTTGGCCGCTCGTAATAATTTTTGATTTTTAAATGCCATGGTTTTATTTATGTATTGTAAATATGATCACAAAGTAAGCAAACAATGCATTATTGTTTAAACGCAATTAAACAAAATAAAATGGCCATGTTTTCATGTGTTTAGATATGGACATGGTGTAATTGGCAATGAATAGTATTGTTTTTGGGGTGTTTTTACATAGATTTCATGCAATAGTAAGAAGTATCTGACTATACGTCACATCGAGAATAAGTTTGTATACAATTCACAAGAATTTCATGCCTTTGAATGAGATTTTCATTGAAAACCTGTTTTTTATTTTGTATTAATTAGGAGATCGCCTAAAACTTATTGCTATTGTAAAATAAATCATGCTGCTCTAAGTATTGTTATTAACGAGTTTAAATTATATAATTATAATCAATTAAACAAAATTAATACATAAACATTAAATTAATAATGCTAATTATCATGTGTCAATTAAACATGTTGAGTGTTTCATTAAATTGGTAAATTCTGTGCTTGTTTCTTAGTAATAAGCTGTATGAACATAACCATGAATAAAACAAATAGACTGTTGATAATAGCAATGATAAATGGACCAAGTGCGATGTGAACAACTAAACCAACTATGGACATTACCAACACAATGATTAGGGTGTATCTACTCTCTTTTATTACACCAACGAGACCAATGATTGAAAATACCAAGGCCAATTTGTATATTATTATTTGATTAATTACTATGGTCAATGGATTGGGAGAATTGTATTTATAAATTAAAATATTGAGTTATTTAATTATTAGTATGCTATATGATATTTAACTTACATTGATCAAAAGTCTCATGTCCATTTAAGCCGATAAATATGCTCAATATAAATAATAACCATAATGTTATTAGTATTGTATTGCCTAATATGGAAAGTGCAAACAGCACTTCCAGTATTGTTCTCACCACGGTCAATGAATTTTTGTCTTCAAACCACATGAAAATACTAAAACACCACCCTTCAATTATTATCATTTTGTTTTAATAGTGATAACAAATTAAATGTTACATGTATTTTGTTTTACAAGATATAACTAATATGATTCTGTAGGTAAAATGTGAAAATGGTTGAAATTGTCACTCAATTTATATGTTTTGCATGGATGTTATGAAATTTACATGTTTTTATTACATACTGTATATAATTTTGTTTTTATCGTGTATATAATTCATAATATTATACATGTTTTGACAGTTTTTGTTAAAACCAGTTTTTAATAAATAACAAAAATTAATACCATAGTAATATTGCACTTTTAAAATTTATTAAGCTAATTATTTTTATTAACTGTTAGTGTTAAAATATAGTTTGTTTCAAAAAGTACAAATGAAATGAATTTTCTTTATTGATAAATATTATTTTAAAAATATTTTAACAATTCATTATAAAGTATTTATTATGCTTTGTGGGTTTTGTTTGCAATTTGTTTCTCGGTAATAAGTTTTATGAATAAGCCCAATAATATAACGAATACAATGTTGGCTATAGCGATGATAATTGGACCAAGTGCAAAATGAATTACTATGCCTAGTGTGCTTATTACCAACAAAATAATTGAGATCCATTTAATCTCCATGATTACACCAACGAGACTAACAATTGATAATATTAGGACTAAGCTGAAGTCTGGTATTAATACAGTCACTATTGTCAATGAATTAGAAAATAATCATAATGATTTTTACAATAAATTAATAAGTTAAGATGTTGATATTAAATTTGTTTTATTTAACTTACATTGATCATAAGTATTTTGTCCCACCATGTGCGCAAACCCGGGTAATAACCATAATGTTAACAATATTATATTACCAATAATGGACAATGTGTACAACACTTTTAGTATAGTTTTTACGTTGGACAATGAGTTCTGGCTTTTAAATGCCATAATCAAATTGTAAAATACAAATTTATATGAATGAATTTGTTTTAAAATGGTAATCAAATACAGAATATAGTAAAGTATGTTTTGTTTTAAATGTATACAATAACTAACTACTGTACACTACACTACATGTAATGTAATATTATATGCTGTAAGTGCAATGTGAACTTGGTGCACTTGATTTGCATTTTATATGTTTTGAATTACCTTTACTTTATTTATATTATATTATTCAGTAACGGCAAATTTAAATTTCTAACAATTTTGTAAGATTTTTATTTGAACTTTTGCATTAAACAATAATTATCAAGAATATTGATATAAATGTTTTTATTCAATCTATTAATTGTTAAAATTGAAGTGTTTAGGTATACCTGAGTCGGGGGCGAGGCTTAGGCTAATCCTAAACACCCTTTAATTTATACCTCCGGTGACACTGAAGACTATTATACCTCTTATTTCGCTCTCTCAGCGAACGCTTCCTTAAACTACAATAAATTCATTTCAATTTAAAATATATAAAAGCGTTTAATTTAATATAAGTATTAATTACAATACAATTGAAAGCCTTCAACACTTCAATAAAGAGAGGGCTATCTGAGCACAACCTCTCACTTGAGTCCCTAATTTACGACTGAAGTAACTCTATTCACAATCCTATGAAAGGCATGAATACAGTCACTACTATGGAAAGTATAATACAGTAAAGTTTTAACATTAATATTGAAATACAGATCATTGCACACACTATAGGAATATTTATAATAATTAATAACAATTTATAGTCTTTCTAAAGTATAAAATAATAACTAATAATGAGTGATACTCCATATCACTTTAAAATCATATATTACAAAAATTAAATTAAAAATTAATACGTAAATATTTACACAATTATGGTAAATGTAACATAATATTCAAGAGTTATTAATACAACGAACTAGATACTTATAATTAACAACTTTATTCATTATAAATTTACAATATATAAAAATAGTAGTAAAAACAAGTATAAATAATTAAATAAATGTAATTAAAAAGCAATTATAGGGGGCACTTAGAGGGTGCCTCCCTGTGCTTTTCAACAATAAGTCTAACGTATAGAAAACTAAGGCCAGTCATTAGGGCCCCGGATATCCCAAATCCCGTTGCAATCACTAATTCCGATACAATACCCACCATAACAAACCACTTGTGATCTTTAATAATGCCAATTAAACCGATGATGGTAATTAATGAATAAATTATCATGCCAATTAGTAAAACTGTGTAATAAATAATAAACATTAATAGATATGGAATATTATATTTATTAGATTAAAAATTATAATGTTAAATTATTGTACAATAATTACCACGATTTTCGTGATTTAAA